AACCTGCATTCATTTCCGGACAACCCAATATATTTTCTTTAATATTTAACTATTTTTATTATTATTATTGACTATGATAATTGGGTGAAAATATGTCTCTTAAAATGGGAGGTATTTTATTAACAAGAATTGTAGATCGGTCATTAGTTATATTGCTAAATAACTAATCCAAGTGGTTTTAGATGTCCTCTTCCTTTTGGAATTTCATTCCATTTAAAGAGTTCTGCAGATACCGGAATAAGTAGTAGCCACTTGGAGCTAGGCCGGGTGAATAGGGATGGTGGGAGAAAAGATCCCATCCTAGGCTCAATAATTTATTGCGAGTGACCAATGAGGCCTGGCGCCTAGCGTTGTCTTGGTGGAACACATCACCCATCCGATCATTCAGAACTCTTCAGGATGTGCTCCAAATTCGAAGTTACTATATCCCTTGTAAAGCTTAATTATTGCTCTTCAAAGCTTTATAAATCGTTTTTGATTTAATGCCTACATAAGGAATTAATAAACAAAACTCCTTAAATTTTTTTATTTTTTTATCTCCATTTGTAGTTAGTTTACGAAGGTCCTGTTGGCGTCATTTTGTGTAGTTTATGTGGCCCTAAATTGAAGTTATAAGATTTGTTGTGATTTTCGAAGAAAAAAATCATCTGAGAGACATTAAGCCTCGAAACGTAGCCGAACTTGTGCAAATGGTTTTCTATGCTTGTGTGCGACACATTTAGGGCCATAGCAATCTTTCGCACTGATTGGGTGTGATATTGATCAACAATGGTCTTAACATTGCTCGTTTCAATTGCATGTGGGCGACCAGACCGTTGAGCATCATTGATGTCAAAATTTTCTGAATGAAATTTGGCAAACCAATTTAGACAGATGCGTTCGCTTAAGACATCGTCCCCATAAACATTGCCAATTTTTCTATGAATTTCTTCCATATTCACAGTGCAATAGCAAACACAATACTAAGCTAGTTTCAATAACAGTTAACAGATATAGTTGTTGACATATTACGATCAGGATAAACAATCTACCTATGGGATTAATTAATCAAATAAGAAGTGTATCATAGTGACTTAAAATTAAACAGAAAAACCGAAAGGACTTATTTTCCAACCCAATACATACATATTATGCTTTTAGCAGGGACATGGAAGCCTTCGGAGAAACATTTTAAGCCCCTCACGTCAGCAACAGCTCACCGGGAAAGCGTGGCTAATCCATTTGCACCAGGCCTTTACCGTTGTTTGCTTCGGCTGTGTCCTTTCAAATCACTTTTATAACATTTTCCTTTGTATTGCTACGAAGAATAATGAAGGAGTCTCCATTTCTAGATTTAAATGTGCAGGATAGAAATTGTAAACTTAAATTTTAATATAAAAGCGTATGGTTTAAATGATTAGGATGCAAACAACTGACTAGACTAGTGAGATTACATTAATTATTAAAGCGATTTTTTGCTTGCATTATTTAAATATACGCGGTATAGTATTTTTTTTAAACGCCATTTTCAATAAAGAAACGTGTGTGGACGTGAGATAAGTTTGAAACGGAATGCATGTTTAATATGTTTTCAAAAGAAAACAAAACTGATTTCAAGGTAATTGTGCTATTAGGCACTAACTTCGGCCTTGAATGAAAATTGGTTTCTAATTCTCTCTTTATTTATTTTATTTTTTTCTCAATATTCCCAAACTAATTAATTCTTGATAAATATGTTTCAATACTATTAAATAAATTTCACTTAAATGGATATTTACATCTTATTCATATATTAGCTTATAAACGTTATGGAAACTATATTTATTTTATATATTCAAATATTTCATATTTCTCCTCATTAACATTTAAGTTAACCACATTACATAATTTATTATTTTTTTAAATAATAAATATTTTTACTAATTTAATATATTAATTAGAAAATTCAGTACTAAGAAAAGCAAAATGGAATTAAATAAAAAACTACAGATATGATAAATGAATAGATTATTGTTTAGTTTATTTTTGATTAGAATTAAAATTAATCCCAGAAATTTCACTGTTCTACTCATTCATTTTATATACTAATATACTTGTGAAATCCACTGACTATATCTCAGTGTAACCTTCAAGCCCCCACTTAGAATTCTATAATTAAAAAAGTTTTTTATTTTATTCATTTCAACAATCTCCTAACATTATTAATATTAATATTAAAACATTAAATTTCCAAATTAATTAAAAATATCCAAAAAAAATATAAGTAAAAAGTTGTTAGCTCACCATTAATTAGTAATAAATGAATGAAGTTTTGTAAAATAATAAATAATGCACTATTGTATTTATATAAGAATTTACACTCGTTCTTGTGTCTATCATGTTAAAGAAATTTCACAAATATTCTGCACATATAAAATTAACAAAAATATTTAGTGATTATTTTTATGTCAGAAATAAAAGTTCTTAGAAAAGATTTAAAATGACTGGTTCCAATATATTTTAACGACTGAAATTATTGCTCAGTTTACTAAATTTTAGTGGTTCTGTTATTGGTTTTCTTATTATTAAAGTACAGTGCTGAGTAAAAATTTTGTGATGGGCACTCTAGATATTTTCTATTTTTTAATTCCGAAGTAAATTTTAATCATTACTTTCATTATTGGTTTCAAAAAGTAAGCAAATGATAAAGCAAATTTAGAAAATCACATAATGGTTTCTAGGTTTGTATTAAAAAAGTTCAAGTGATATGACTTTTTTCGATGGGAAAAAAATAAGTGTAGGTTTCTATCACTGATATTAATATTTTAAACATTAGGTACGTTTGTTAGATCCTTTTTAGAACATTAGATTTGTTAGTTCAATCCTTTTTATCATGCTATCTTCTTATAATTTATCTATTCTTTAAAAGTAAACATACATGATCTTAATAATAAATCGATTTATTTTTAATACGATTTCGTTCATTTTCGAAAGTTTTAGTGTGATTATATAGTGTGTTTGTTTGTAAAATTATTAGTTTAACTAGTAATGAATTGACTTGTGACACAGAATCCCGTTTTTCTTCATTATAATTAAACAAAAATAAAATAAATTATGAGAAATAAAATAAATGAAAAACAAGGAATTTTTTTAAAAATAAACACTGGACTTCTACAGATTTTTAAAATATTTTAGATCTGATAAACTGCTCCACCTTCCTCTGGTCTGTAATTCTTTTTTTTTTAAATAGCTTTAATAAATATGAGTCTATTCTATATTCGTAAATTAGTTCTATTTTATTTTTCACACTTCTTGACAATTCTTTCACATTTTATGTTCTTATAAGGTTCTGAAGTTAATTAATTATTTTATAAAATTTATTTGTTGACTAATTTATTGATTTCTTCTTTCTTTGTTATTACACATTCCTACTATTATCGACCTTCGGTAAGGGTAATTTTTTCTACTTTCATTTTTCATGTTGATAAGTGTACAACTGTAATTGTATACGACCTGTTGATTGCGATGTCATTATTAGATGCCGGAGAAAACAAGTGTCATTGTAGTAATGAGGAACAAACTAATTGGTACACTCATCTCTAACAACTGTTACTCGCCAGTAACAGAGATGCCTCTCGTAATATTTTGAATTATAATCTGATTATTATTTTTTTTATTTAGTAATATGATATAATATATGATCCTTGGGGGGCAGAGACTAAATTAGTAAATAATAATATTCTTTCACTTGGACAATAATTATAGGGAGACCACATTCTTAATATATATACAGCAAATATAAAATAAACAGAAGAAAAATAACTGCAAAATAATAGTAAAAAAGTACATAAAATAACATAAAGATCTGTAAATAAATAAATAAATAAAAAAGAACACATACATACCTATATATATTATTTACAATCAGGCGAGGGAACTCGGAGGCAGGCTTGTCCCTCCAACTATGGAGGCAAAAGCAGAACTCCAGGAGATACGTGCGCTACTCTCTCAATCGCGTCAATGGTACTTTAAATCCATTGGATATTGATCGAGACCGTTTATTTTATTTTTGGATATGCCATGCATCGATTCGTCGCGTGTTATATTTCATGGGTTATAATAACACTCATATGATATGGTGTTGTTAAATAATATCTTAATGTTATTTTTCCGACCAACAAAGACAGCGGTCAATTTTACACAATTCTAATCCGAATTTTGATTACTACTTTCGTAATCCCAAAATCTTTGTTGTGCCCTTGCAAGCTAGCTAGATAGCTTAAGTGATTAAGGTGAAAAGAGAAAATTATCATTAGAGTTATTTTTCTACTGTTGTTGGCCGTAAGAAACTAATAAGAAAAAAATTGCTTCATACAACTTTTACTAATGGCAATTAATTAAATAGAAGCAATTCAGTTTAAGCATGTTTCGGGTAACCTCAAGTCTCATACGTAGCGATGAGTGGGGCTCAAAGTTCCGATTTTTAAAAAATATGATTTAGAAAATAACCTATTAGTAAAATTTATGCTAGCTTATAATTTGTACTTATATTCTTCTTTATGAATCTAAAACAATTTTGGGTGTAGCTATAACGAATATTTTTATAAGAAATTAATTATATAGGAAAACGTCACAACTTACCCCAACTTGGTTTTTTTTTCCCTAAATCTATGTAAGCGAATATAAACAAAACCAAAACAAGTTATCCTCTTAGAATACGGGACTCTTTTGGCGAATCACTCTCGAGACAGCGTAGCCTGCTTCGAAGTGAGTATAAGACCTCATACTCTTCTGCTCATAATTATTAATACAAGCAATTTGTAATAATAGAATGAATTAGTTTATAATATGATATTATGTTAAAAATATTGTTACGTACAAATTGTAGAAAATAAATGTTTTCTGTCAAATGTAAGGCAGTAAAGTTAAATTACACTCGTAACATGATATTATTGTAACAGCGTACATTGAAAGCATTACATTGCCATAACCTTTTTTGTGTACGACGTAGAATCGACTCATTACTCGTTGGCTCACGTGAGATGAAAACAGGACGCCTCTACCTCAAGTCGACTAGCTGTAACCCCTCGAGAGCGATCAAGGACGTACTTCCTGGCGGGAACAAAAAGCGAGCAGCTGTACGGAAGAGCTCCTATCGATCCCTGCCCCACTAAAATATTCATATCCCTCGTCGCCTCCAGTTCCTCCTTCCCTTTATCGCTGCCCTCTCACCTCTCTTTTATGTTAAAATGGTCAATCATTCATACGATCAGATTTGCGAGATAAGTAAAAATAGTTCGACTTGGAAACTCATACTTACAATGACTACTTGCACGGTCTTTAAGGAGGAGGTTCCTAATTAGAAAACAAAACTTACAATTTTAACAGATATTTAAAAAAAAACATGACGAGATAATAAATTATGGATTTATATTTATATGAGGTACAAAACTGAAACGAAAAGAAACTGCTCAACGTTTCCGGTTGATATAGGGAGTTGAGCTTTATGGCTCTACCAAACCATCGAATCCTATCGTATCCAATACTTACAATCCAAAATCATTCATAAAATCTTTAATGTTCTGTATTTTATGACTAATAAAACCATTCATAAAGAACTTAAGTGTCCAATATATCATCGATTTAGCCCGATCCAGATACCTATACTTTCATGATACACTCCAGACCTATCCGAACCCAGTAGTTTCTTCCTTCTTGATTCCAGATAATTCTCCTAGGCTTCGAAAAAGAAGATTGCCCCGGGAGCTTCTTACTTAGAACCATTTAGGGATTGCAACCATTGGGTAGCATCTTGATAAGTCTGTTCGAGTCATAACTCTTGATTCATTCACATTTACTAGTTGTATTTATTTACACTGTTTTAAAGTTCTAAAAAAAAAAAGAGTTGAGAAGAAGTCATTTGGGGTGTTCAGTAAAAAAAAATAATAATAGATATTCATTTTTATATTTGCCGACATTTCTGTCCAAAGTTCAGACCTTCATCAGAGCTGGACTCACAAAGGTTCCCGCAAGATCTAAAATATTTATATGACTAATTTAGTAACAATAAAAATAATTTCTAATGATGGGGAAGAGCCTCTAAACGTTGAGTATGTAAACAAACTATTAAAAATTGAAGTATTTGTATAGAAGTTAAAAATAACTTTCATAAACTAGATTTATCCTTCTTATATAGAGTAATGTATCAAATTTATTTATGAGATAAGAAAATATATTACGACTTTGAAACTGATACTTCACCCAGTAATTGTAATCGCCCATTATAATTCTCTTAAAGTTTCACTAATAAAGTTATAATTTATTCATTCGTTCCGCTAATGTACCTTTTGCGCAGATAACGAGTGTTATAAAATTGTCTTGATTGAAACTATTTTATTAAATAATATAATCTAATTTTTTGTCACAATAAGGACAAAATTTACATTTAAAGAAAATTTGATTCCTATAAAATATACTGTAAGCATAAATAAATAAAATAAAATAAAAACACAGGAATAACTAAACAACAATATGCAAAACAAAAAACATAAAAAATAAAATAAAACTGTGTTTATACAATTATTAAATAATTAAGTTTATAATTTTTGTATTCATGCTAATAATAATCGAAGATGTCTTTGAGACTGATTGTAATATTTTTCAATAATAAGTAAAAAAAAATAATAATCGAAGGATATATTTAAATATGATCGAATCCTATATTGATTGGGTTATTTCTAACATCCCTCATGGCTAATCACAAAAATAAATAAAACAAATGCATAATTATTGATTCGTTCTGAAATAGGACTAGAACTTTGTTGTAAACATAAAAGATGGAATTATAGGTCATATCTTAAGGTGTGTTCACAAATTTCTTAAACTATGCCGGGCACTATTGTGTAAATAGGAAATTTGGCTTGGCTTCCGCAGGCTTTTCTCCGTTTGTAGCCGATTTCGGTATTTAGGTGCAAAATTAAAGGAAAGAAGCATAAAACACCGCATAAGCGCTAATACTGTTTAAGAATTGAACAATTATTCACGTTTTGCACTATTTTTTTCTCTCCTTTTTTGTATTCGAATCTGTCAAGAGATAGGAGTGTCAATAAGGAAATTTAGTGATGAATTAATGAATTATGGTTATGGCATTTGAGACACGAGGAAACATAGTATTCAGTGTTATCCTATGTCACTTTTTAAAGTTTTTACAATACATTTTAAACTAAAACGTTTTTCTGGTGTACAAACGCTGTAATACCCTTAGTTATATGCGTCTGCGTTGACGGCGTTCCGAAAACCTATAAACGCGCCTGTATGTTAATGTTAATTATTTAAATATTTATTTAAAGAAATAAGTTATTTTTTTTTTTATTAAATTAGTTAGGAGATTTTCGGAATCACTGAACATGAATTTCCATAATTATACAATCCCCAATTTCTGATCTATTATTTTTACAAAAAAGATGGCACCATTTACATTTTATTTCACTTAAGTAATTGGCTATCTCTAAATTTATTACATATGATCTGCTAGATGATAGTAATATTATTTATAATTTTTATGTTTTAATATAATTATACAATAATTTATAATACTGTCTCACAGCAATCGATTTTATAACACCTGTCTTGAGAGGTATTGCTAAATGAAGAGGAATAATAACTGTTATAAATTATTGATTAAACCTCAACATGGCAGTGGCGCTTAATTATTTCATGAATAACTGAAACAAGATCTGAAAATAAATTAACTCGTCAACTTCATTTCAAACATTTCATTAAAACATCAATGCTTTTCGTTATTCAACAAATTAATTAATCCATAAGGAACAATGCCTATGTCGAGATAAGGCCTAATTTATTTGTAAGAAGTCTTTTAAAAAGACACGGCAATTGTTAGAGATCTGTCATTTAAAATTTTATTTTTTGATTTTTTTTTAGCTAAAAAAAAAACAAGGACGTTATTCTAAAATAATAAAATCTCGGCGTTAAAAAACTGGCAGCCCATTTGATTTATGTACGTCTAGCAAACCTTGAATTATCTTTAATTAAGCATTCAATATTTAAAGAGTTGTCACCACTTTTCAGAATGAATATTTACTAATTTAAAAATATTCCTCAAATCTTTTATAGCTACTGAAACATACTTCCAATCCGGTAATTTCAAATATATTTGTTAATATCCTTATGCAAAGCATAGTACATTTGATTATTAGGTTTTTTGAGATAGCAAAATTTATAATCCGGATTCATTATGATTGCAAATAATCGTTGAGCTTAAAAAGGAAAGAATTCCTAAAAGACGATGCACTGTGCTGACAGTTTTTTTTTGGTTTTTTTTTTTGTAAGTAGCCGTTGAGGCTATACGGGGTTTTCCCGAGGCAGGGAGTGTGGGCGGGAATTCAAAAGACTCCCTCGAAACAGGGACGCGAAATCGTGACTATTTTTATATCATTTGATTGATATATCAGGTTGCCGGGCAACGGCGGTGCTGCGCACACGCTTTAGCCCATTCGGCCACTCCGCCCACTCACTGTACCGACTGTAAAAGAGTAGACCGAAACGAAAGTTCGAGGATTGCGTGAAGGCTGATTTGGTGTGGTATGGTTTGGACAGCGTGCAGAGGATGCAAGTATGTAGCACACGATAGGTGGCGTCGGCATCGAACCTTCGGATTCGCTAAGCCTTTATTATTATTATTATATCATAGTCGTTGCAGAGGTCATATAAAAACGATTTATTGACCGTTGTAAAATAATCTTCTTCTTTGTTTAAAAATTAGACTTCTTCCGTTTCTCGTTTTGCTTTTGCTTCTCCAAAAATTAAATCTAAAGGTTAATCAACGCTTTACGGATTTAAGATCCGGAGGGGCTGACGTAAGGTAAGAGTGTTAAGGCTGATTTAGAGAAATTTTGTTCGGTCGGCTGTTGGCTGATGGAAGTACTCGAACGAGGGTATATTGACCGTATGTAGACGGTGATAGGTGGTGTCGGTATCAAACGTTATGGTTCGCTTAGTTTTTAGTGTTATATTTAGCATACATTCAAAATATACTTGTTCATAATATAGTTCGTAATTGTAATTATGCTGTTCTTAGATAATGTTCTCTCCCGCTAAAGACTCGGCAATAGGGAGACCGCTTGGCTCGATTACTGTTTTCCAAACGACCCCATCAGAGCAAACAGTACACGTTACACTGAACACCTTAGAAGAGCACGGTAGTTTTCGGCTTGTGGCGCCCCGTGAGTGGTTGAGTTGCATGTCCCCGTCGGTGCTCCAGAGTACCCTCTTTATCATAAGCTAACAGATGACTGGCCCCCAGGTCGGACTCCCAGGGGAGATGAGCCGGCTAGAGGTTCCTGAGCTCCGGATCGGCAGGGAGACTCGCCGACGGCACTCCTGGATCGCTGGGTGAGTACCACCACTGATAATAATAATATTGTTATTTACCATAATTTTTTGTTGTTGTTAGATTGATGGTACATAACTCTATTTAATATAGACATTTGCATACATACAATAACCACAGGATTGTATCCAATAAATTAAAAGTTCCTTTGAAGAAAGCTTGGTTAACCAAAAAAATTAAAGCATATAATGATTTTGTTCATATTAATCCTTAAAAGTATTTTTTAAAATCTAAATAGATGTGTTGAATAAATTGAATGATAATCATTCTTATCAGATCAACATTCATCAACGGATTTGATTTTGGCATCGAAGTTGGTTGACGTGAAGCCATAAAGAACCATCGCAATGAAAATCTCAGAAAATTTAGTAAAAATATTGAAAAATAAAATAAGACAGATAGATAGACTACAATACAGGCATACGTGTTAAGAAAACACAACTAAGTTCCTATTTAATTTAATTTAAATTAAATTGAAGTATTAAGATTAAGAATTCGTGAATCAAACCGAGTCCATTTCCACCTTCCAGTCAAAGTTTTAATAAATTGTTATATGAAGTAACATCTTTACTTTTTGAAAAATTAATTTGCTCCTTCTTTCATGGGTTGATCATTATTAACAAAGTTATGGGTGTCACTGAAATAAATTCGATTGCTTTTACCGAACTAATATATATTTTTCAAAGTAGATAAAAAGTTATAAGCTAGAAGTAAATTCTTGTTGAGAAAGAGCTCTTACAGAATCTTTAAAAAAAAAAAAACGATCCAAAATGTTTATAGAGTATTTTATCTTTGTCTTATCTCCACAAAAAAACAACAGAAAATTTAATAGTCATGAAATTAAAATTATGTAGTTTTTTCATCTCCTGAAGATTTTTAGATTTTGTCCTTACACGATTTTGAGGCTTGGCTGTCGATAAACTGATCGAACAAATCTAGAACTTCTAAAAACGTTGAAGCCATCTTAAACCCATGAAACAGTAATAATCATTTGGAACTATTTCTTCATATCAATGAACCTTAAAATTCCCTAAAAAAAGGAACGTTTTTCGATCGATCTACATCTCATCCGTAAAATCGAACTTTTGTGAAAACTAGTCGGTTTTGGCGTTCCTCAGAGGACTGAAGTCATTTGTCCAAAATCATCTGCTAGTTGTGAAAAAAAATTGGAATACTATCATATGATAATTTTAAATACACGCTAAAGTCAGACTAATTGGTCATGTTGGTCACAAAATCCATCGGTTGTTCAAGAATACATTGCATTTTTCCTATTGAGCTTTATAAGGGAATAAGTTAGTAAATAGGTGTATGAATATCTTGAAGCAAGAAGGATACCTTATAGATGATAACTAGAAAAATGTTGCAAACAAGATGGACTCGCCGATGCTGCATCCCAGCGGCACTACCTGGAGTGGACTATGATTGGTGGGGCCTGGTAAAGGGATTAGCTCTAACGGACTGCGGTCACCTCGGTTAGGGCCAATTGGATTTATTAGTCGTAGGCCAGCGGTCGGCTAACTTGCCCTTATTAGCTTCGTCATGCTCCCACCTCGGCTGCCTCTCCTAGCTGTCAGCAGCTTCCCATCTTTAGAGTCGGCTGTATCAATCCGAGAACACAATGTATAAGCCAAAAAAAAAAAAAAAAGAATCCCAAGAGGTAAGCCCAGGATGGGTTTTTATGGTTTCACCATAATTTTTGAGGGAGCATATTTTGACGAAGATTTAAAGTTTGGAGAGTGGCACAATTTCGAGGGATGAATTTACGTATCAAATCAGAGAACTAGTAGATAACATGAGGCAGATCATATTGTATTGTATATGATCTAAGATTATTCTAATTCTAATTTCCATTGCACTGTTTTTATTAAGAAGAGGGATTCTCAGATTCTCGATCATAACAAAAGTATAAAATAATGCTCAAGGCATTACTAGAGAGGAACCGACGGTGGGTGCCGACTATGAAGGGAAAAATCTTAAGAAATTCTTCCCCACCCTCCAATCTCAGTTAAATGGATGCTCCCGAACAATTGGGTTTCACAATTCCTCACGGAGTATAGGGGTTATAGAGCTAAACTGCATGGTTTCGGACAGGATATAGACCACCACAATCCCACGGTATTCCGGAGACTGTTGAGCATATGGTCACGGCCTGCACAACTTTCGACGGATTAAGAGCCATGTTATTGAGAACCACGGGTATGTACGGCCTCACACAGGAGTTTCGTCAGCTGGCGAGCGAAGAAAACTTCCCGTGGTTCAAAGAATTCATAAATAGATGGGTCCAGCTTACCTCCACCTAGAGGCCCGCAGAAGGAGAAGAGGACCAGTGCCGGGAAGACCTCCGGGTTTCGGAAGCTAGGCTTAATTGTTGAAGAATAAAAAGAAAAAAGAGCTAGCTGTGTGTATAGTATTGAATTTTATTATCTGTTATCATTGCAGTAGTATGGTATTATGCAAATGCTTAACATTACACTACTGAATACGGCCTTATTGGCCTAGTAGAATGAGAGGGTAGGAATAAATAAAAAGCATCACTATTAAATGCAACTGTAAACATTCTAAACAAGACACATTAATATTATGCAATTCTGTTAATATTTTTAAAAATTAATTTTGTAATAATTGGAATTCTATATAATTATCTGTTCTTACAAGGCAGAAAGGACAGATTTTCCAATCTATTCTAGCCATTTTGAAGTAAAAATTAGTTCCGTTTATCAACTTAAAAAAAAAAAAAGGGAAGCTTTTCAGGAAATTAATGTGAACCGGCACCACTCCAGAGATCTGAATTCTGAGGTACGAACGTTTAGATGCCACGGCCTGGATGCTCAGTTTTTCAGTATTAGAAGAATATAATCTGCGATGCAAAGATATCTTCTGTAAATTCAAAACCTTCCTCAGCATTTGGTAGTATTCATAATTTTGACAGAGTGTCCTGAAAAAGTTGGCTTGATAGAAGGCGCACTATCAAAATTTGTGGTGTTAAAAATTTTTCGAATGAATTCTGTTTTGATGAGATTTCGATTTAGGGAAACTTTCAAACCAGGAAATATGGAGGATACTACAATTTTTATAATTTTGCTCTTACTTGCACTGATTTTAAAATAATACTGAAATAAAATTTCTTGTGAGTGTAAGATATATATACGACATCAAACTTGAAAGAATGGGAACCCATGAACAGAATCACCTTTTTCCAATGGTTTCATCACCTTGATAATCTAAAAGACGATTTTATATTGTTATGTTTTTTTTTTCCTTCCATAAATCGTTTATTGATTCTCGTTTTTACGAGTGGAAGGAGTAACAAAGGATGTAGGGAATTATTTAATATTTATTTAAGGGAATTAAAATATTTCAGCATGCGAAAAAGATTATTTTAAATCATGATGTAGAAAAACTTTCAAACTTTCTGTGAAAAGAGTCATTTTCCATGGAGAGTCAATATTTTTGTAAGCTCACAGGCACTCTCCTCAGCATCAACAGATCAACAGATCAATAAAAAAACAGATAAGCTTCAATTATACTCAAACGGGTACTAAGTCACTGTGAGTTTTTGGAAATGAAATAGCAAGTAAATTGGCAAGTACCCAAAATGCCGCAGTACAATATTGTTATACGATATGTAAAACGAGTCACAAGAAGAGACATTATGAAACATTTAGGAGCACTACTCAAATTTAGCAGGAGAAAAGCTTTACAAGCTCTTTTTGTGGCAAACCTCCTCCTCCTCTCAGAAAACAGATAATTACTTAAAGCTATTATTGGAAGACTTTACGACAAGTCTTTAAGATTATCAAATATTTTTTTAAATATATTTATTCAAAAATATTACATTCTGTCACAATTAAGGACATTTATAATAGTGTTCAGAGAGCACACTCACACTCTATATTCGCCTTATCAGACATTTTAAGGAAAGTAAGAGATGAAATCAAATAAATGGAGTCCGATTATAGTACGTCAGCAGGCTAAAATGGGATAGCCAAAGAGATTTTATAACATAATGGATAATGGAAGCATGTGTACAACACGCCTATTCTTTCTAAGTCTACTAATTTTCTTCTAATACGAAGAAATTCGATGTTTTAAGGCACAATTTCTACATCTTATTTTAAATTAAAAAAAACACACTGTGAAGAAACCTCTTTTACTAATGCACTCATTACAAACTTACGAAGTGGGACAGTTATATTAAAAAACTAAAAAAAAAACAAACTAAGAGGGCATTGCGATGAGGATGCAATTACAGCTTTGATAGGACATCAATAAATGATTACGAGTCGATATCCCGAGTCACCTCCTCATTAACTAGCTAGGGCTCATTAACATCTGTGTAATGCGGAGTCATTAGTAGCCTGCAATCTCATTGTTCAGTCTCCATCCTACGGGTTTCAGGGTTGTAGGGACTCTCCTGCAATCTATAAATCCTTCACACACGTTCCAAATCACTCTCCAGATCGCTAGTTTTATTATTTCCTACTGGGGTTTTGTTCGAAGGTAGAGTTCGACGAAATATAATAACAGCGATTCTCTACTATGTTGAAACCAATCATATATTGAAAAGAAGGTAATATCTTAATAAAAACAAGAAAGCAACATGAAAAGTGTGAAAAAAGTACGTTTCCTAGTTAAGTAAGTTTCCAAAATTACTTATCAAAAGACCTAACATAATTTTTCATATCTTAATTTTTTAGATCTCATACAATGTGATATGGTTTTATATTTTCAGCTGACCTCCTGTTTCAATTATGACCTATACTTGCAAAGAATCTTATTTGCAGGAATGTCAGGGACTCATGGAATGCTATCCGCAATTCACATGCGTATCAATACCAGTGTTGCCCAAATGCGGGACGGAGACGAGTCTTGGTCTTGCAAACCCAATCTTGGTCTCGCAAAAGTCTTGCAGTTACTTATTAGCTTATTACTATAGAGATATTACTGTATTTTTTTAGATAGGGGAAAGCTAACTAAGCTCGAATGAAAAATTAGGGGTAT